ATTAGGGGGGTAGTGTAGACCAAGCCTAAGAGAGAGTTTATCATATCCTGATGAAATTAGAGGGAATCTGGGGTAGGCCACGTTTAATTACCAATATTTTTAATTTGTTCAGGATGTACCCCTAGTCTTTCCAAAACTGTTCATGAGCCACTACTCTTCAGAACCCTGGTTTCATGTTTTAGTGGAAAGACAGCACCAGCGTGCCACCTGTTACCATGCATGAATGTTGGTTGATCATGACAGAAAAGAGCAACACCTTCTCCACCAAAACTTTCTTCTGCACGAGCTGGGTGTTCCTTTGCTTCTTTAGTAAACGTGATAATGTGTGAAAGTGCAGTCTGAGGAGAGGTGACATGCTTACAGCAGGGGCAGTTTACAGAGTTTTAAATACACCATACTCATTAATTATTTATGGCAGCACTTAGGGACCACACTAAGATTAGGATACCACTGTGCTAGGCACTGTACACACAGGAGTCTGTCCCTGCTCCAAAGAATTTACAATCTAAATAAGCAAGACAGACAAAGGAGAGCATCTAATCTGAATAAACAACGTGGTCAGCAGTGGGCATGTTAGCTACTTTTTTTTTAAATAGTTGGATGGGGTTGTGGTGAGAGCAGATTAGCTTAAAAAAAATCTAAGCATGGACCTTAAAAGGAGGGGAAAGAAAAATGGGAGCCCAGAAGGAAGGCGGCATAATCGAGCAGGAGCCAACAGCCACCGATCAGAGAGGCGAGAACTCCAGTGTAAATGTGGTTAAAAACCAGTGAGAGGCTGCTGATGTCATCAGACTCCAGGCCACTGCTGCAGCTGCTTTCCTCTGCTGTTGCTGGTTGAGTTTCTAGCTGGCTCCTGCCACCAGTTCCTTTTGTCCAGGAACAAACAGGGCTCAGAAGTGTGGGACTGCATAGGCTCTGGAGCCCCTGGACAGGAGATCTCCCCTGCACAATGCTGGGTCTGGAGATGCTAGAAGAGGAGAAGAGCAACTGGATTTCAACTGGATTTCAGTTCCTGCTTCCTTTAGTGGTACTGCTGTACCTGGTTCCGCTGGCTGTTTTTCTCTACTGCTGCTGGGTGAGTTGTGAAAAACAATTCTAGGTGTAGCCTTCCTAGCAATTAACCACTGTAATACATATATCTGTGTGTTGTGATGAAAGGGCCAAGGTTTTAGGAGAAGGTTTTAGGAAAAAGTCCAGATGTTTAAAATGTAAAAATCTAAATATACCTTAAATCTGTCTTCAGGTGAACCTGGATATTATTATATCACATTAACTCTATCATACACCTGTACTGTAAATTTAAAGAGGCATAATCAACTTAAAAATAGGGCTATCACGCAATTAAAAAAATCAATTGCAATTAATTACACTTTTAAACAATAATAGAATGAAAATTTTTAAAAAATGGTAGTTTTCTACATTTTCAAATATATTGATTTCAATTACAACACAGATACAAAGTGTGCAGTGCTCAGTTTATATTTATTTTTTATTACAAATATTTGCACTGTAGAAAACCAAAGAAATAGTATTTTTCAGTTCACCTAATACAAGTACTGTAGTGCAATCTCTTTATCACGAAAGTTGAACTTATAAATGTAGAATTATGTACAAAAAATAACTGCATTCAAAAACAAAATAATGTAAAACTTTAGGGCCTACAAGTCCACTCAGTCCTACTTCTTGTTCAGCCAATTGCTCAAACAAGTTTGTTTACATTTGCAGGAATTAATGCTGCCCACTTCTTGTTTACGATGTCACCTGAAAGTGATAACATGCATTCGCATGGCACTGTTGTAGCTGATGTTGCAAGATATTTACATGCCATATGCGCTGAAGATTCGTATGTCCCTTCATGCTTCAACCGCCATTCCAGAGAACATGCATCCATGCTGATGACAGGTTCTGCTCATGGTGGTTCGGGTTCTGTAGTTTCCGCATCGGAGTGTTGCTCTTTTAAGACTTCTGAAAGCATGCGCCACACCTCATCCCTCCCAGAGTGTGGAAGGCACTTCAGATTCTTATACCTTGGGTTGAGTGCTGTAGCTATCTTTAGAAATCTCACATTAGTACTTTCTTTGCGTTTTGTCAAAAATGCAGTGAAAGTGTTCTTAAAATGAACAACGTGCTGGGTCATCATCTGAGATTGCTACAATATAAAATATATGGCAGAATGCAGATAAAATGGAGCAGGAGACATACACAAGGAGTTCAGTCACAAATGTAATTAATATTTTTTTTTAACAAGTGTCATCAGCATGCCTCTGGAATGGTGGCAGAAGCATGAAGGGACATACAAATGTTTAGCATATCTGGCACGTAAATACCTTGCAATGCCGGCCACAAAAGCACCATGCAAATACCTGTTCTCACTTCCAAGTGACACTGTAAATAAGCGGGCAGCAGTATCTTCTGTAAATATAAACAAACTTGTTTGTCTTAGCGATTGGCTGAAAAAGAAGTAGGACTGAGTGGACTTGTAGGGTCGAAAGTTCTACATTGTTTTGGTTTTGAGTGCAGTTATGTAACAAACAAAATCTACATTTGTAAGATGCATTTTCACACTAAAGAGGTTGCACTACAGTACTTGTATGAGGTGAACTGAAAAATACTATTTCTTTGGTTTTCTACAGTGCAAATATTTGTAATAAAAATAATATAAAGTGAGCACTATACACTTTGTATTCTGTGTTGTAACTGAAATCAATATATTTGAAAATGTAGAAATACATCCAAAATATTTAATACATTTCTATTTGTATTCTATTGTTTAACAGTGCAATTAAAACTGTGATTAATCACAGTTTTTTAATTGTGATTTATTTTTTGGAGTTATTCATGTGAGTTAACTGCGATTAATCCATAGCCATACGTAATAACGCTTTGTTAATCCTACTATTACAAATAATACAATGTTAATTAATGTAAGTGAAAGAGAAAATATATTTTCCTCTTTTTTCCTGTTTAATTGGTGTATTTGACAGCACTTGGGTACAGCCAGTCTGTTTCCTCTGTTTGTGTAGGTCTTTCATTCAGTAAAAAGGGAGAAGAAAACATTTTTAAACCAGTAAAAATGTGCAGGAAGCATTCCTCTCCTGAGTTGACTTAGATTGTGGTACGCCTCCTGGCTTTTTATACTGGCTGCTGAATGAGCCACAGATAATGGAGAATGCAGCAGAGGCTGGGAGAAGAGGATCCATATTTTGAATTCATTGAGTATCAGCTTCTCCCAGATGCCCTGTGAAACCCAACGGAAGATGGAGGTTCAGATTTCTGATGTGGCTCTCCTCTACGGAAGTGATTCTCAAAGGCTCCATGTGTAAGGAAAAAGGTGGTTTCCCTCAATACCAGTCCTGAAAACGCAATGTGGAATGGGAACACCAGCCCAGGGCAATCCCAGCAACGCACACCTGCATCCCACCTCAACCCAAGGGACCTCGCTTTCTTCACACACAGACAGACACTTCCCCCCCATCCCAAAGCACTGCCTTACCTTCACAGACAGCTCCCCACCACCCCATCCCAAGAGACACTCCCCTGCATAGATAGACAGACGGCTCCCCACCACCCCATCCCAAGAGACACTCCCCTGCACAGACAGACAGACGGCTCCCCACCACCCCATCCCAAGAGACACTCCCCTGCACAGACAGACAGACGGCTCCCCACCACCCCATCCCAAGAGACACTCCCCTGCACAGACAGACAGACGGCTCCCCACCACCCCAT